TTAACGAACCATACATCAAGAGTTCCTGTACTCCATCTTTTACAACAACAACAAAACAAGCATTGTATATACTTCATATATATATGAATATAAATCAAATATAATTACATGAAGCATACAAACACACCATGGTAGAGGAAAATTAATTAATGGCCCATTTATCCATAAATAATTAAAATACATATTTGTTGATTACAATAAACAAATTCAAAGACAACAATTAGCAACAATTATATTTTACCCAATATCTTTCATGCAAACCCTAGTCCAATTTCATCAAACATAAATTTACAAAAACAAAATTAATAAAAAAACCAAACCCTAGATCTAGATCTACATGCACATGAAATATCCATAAAACTAACTAATTGTTCACTAAAATCAAGAAACATGGACAAAATAAGGGTATGATCTTGTTTCCCTACCAAATTTACCCAAATATATTCAAAACTTGGGTCTAATTTGCTTCATAAGTAGCTCAAGCACCATAGAAGAGAGAAAAGCAAAACTGTAATTACTCACTAACGAACCATTAAAACTTCAAAAAAATTATGGAATAGCATTTTCTTACCTTCTACAACCTCTCCACCAAAGAATTTGAGACCAAAACATTTCCCCCTTAGTAGAGCAATTTTTGGGAGGTGCCCGAGGCCTCCCCACCTTTCTTTCACGGGTTGGAGTGAGTGACCTGAGGAGAAAGAAGGTGCTGCAGTTTGCTTTATATGTGGATCATTTGTAGGGGCGGCCGGTGATTGAGTCGTCCCTATAAATCAGAGGTATTTATATGCGGGCATTTGTAGGGGCGGCTCAATCACCAGCTGACCCTATAAATAGAAACACCGGGGGTAGCTGGTGAGTGAACCGCCCCTACAAATCCGACCCATTTGTAGGGGCGGCTCGTATCACCAACCGCCCCTGTTGTTCCATTTGTTGGGGTGGCTGGTCTCTGGGCTCCCGAGCACGCCACTGTAGGGGCAGCTCCATTACCAGCCGCCTCTACAAAAAATTTGTCCCGTTGCTATAAACCGTTTTTAACGTAGTGCCTGTGTGTCAAGTTGAAATGAAGCATCAGTTTGTTAAGTTACTCCGATGGCATCCTATTGTTTTCTTTAGCTAGTATGGTCTTCTGTCTCAAAATATAGGTCATGTTATTTTGTCCTGAGTTAAACCTTTTTTTATTTTGATTTTGACCAACTATGTGTGTATGGATCCAAATAGATAATTATTAGCTATATATTAGCTGAAGAAAACTAACTAACAGCTTTTTACTAGCCAGATATATGTTTGGATCAGGTTCTCCATCTAATATAATAGTAAGCTTTATTATATTATTTTGGACATGGATACATATGACTAGTTACTAGTTGAGGGTTAAAAATTAGTCTAAATTAGTTATCGTTGGCTAGCTAGTTGGCTAACAACAAGTTGAAGACTCGGCTAAAAGCCCTGATGTTTGATAGCTAAAACTAGCTTTTGTATCCAACATGCCCTTAGTTAGGGGTCTAGTTAATAGCTTAGAGAAAAACTAAAATGGCCAAATTTTGGAACGAGGGTAATTAAAGATTGTGTTACAGGAAGTCTATGTGGACACAAAATCATCATAACAATTGACATCATGATGTGGCGTGGGTTTGTAGTGCTGCGTGCCACTATTCACGACTAACATTGTGCACGTCAGCGTCAGTCCTGGTGCACGTTGAGCAATTTGGCCATAACAGACTTACCTGATGCCCGGCACGATGAACGTAGAACATGGTTTAACTCAGCTTTGGGGATCTACGTACTCACCTGGCCAATCACAGAAAGCGGCATTGACATGGATATAATAATATACTAATGAATTTCGTATATGTTAAGTAAATCAAACCCTCTACATTTGAACCACACACAGTTTAGTTGGCCAGCCGATGGAGCATGCATGACCCGTGTGTTGGGATGGCTGGCATATATAGTCTTCGCAAAAGTCCTTGCATATATGCTCCTCTACTAAATTGTTAGATAAGTAACTCATACGTCTGTAGTACCACCTCTTAATCAGTTGTAATAATTAGTTGTAATAACTCATCACTGCAACTCACTATAGATGGTCAAGTCTCCTATTATCAAAAACAACAATAATTAGTTGTAAATTTGAGAACTCATGCTAAGTTGGAGACTAGAACCTAGATGGGTTGGTTTAACCACAATAAACCTTACTGGCTAAGCTATTTAATGACATGTTGGATCCTATGAACTAATTGTTAGCGAGCTAATTTTTAGCCCAAATTAGCTCTAGTGTATTCAAACAGGAGTGCTAATAGGTGTACTAATTTTTTAGCTAAGTCTTCAACTAGTTAATAGCCAACTAGCTAGCCAACCACAACTAATTTAGACTAATTTTTACCCCCAACTAATAACTAGCCATGTATATATACCCAAACAGACCCTAAGTATGCAAACTATTCATTTTCTATGCATGGTTGGCACGCCCTTACTGAAATCAAGTCTATTATGTTCATATCTCCTTGGGCATTTGTGATGGCAGGAGATAATAATCTACTGAATAAATGTTTGTATCATGGGTTGTGTATAGTGTTGTTCCCATTTCAAGAATTGGATAGATGTGATAAATGCCCCTAGTAGACAGGCACCAAATATTTTCGCTTGAGAGTTCTCTGTCCCAAGCACCATGTGAGAAAATGTGGTAAGGATCACTTGTGAAGTACTCCCTCCGTCCCATAATAAGTGCACTTCTAGAATTCAAAATTTGTCCAAAAATAAGTGCACCTCTAGATATAAGACAAACTAACTTCATTTGTCTTTTTCTACTCTCTCTCTCTTTCCGAGGTGCAATGATTACGCCTTTATAGTGGCATATATGTAATTTCTCACCAACCTTGATCTCTACATCTAAACTCTAGAAGTGCACTTATTTTGGGACGGGGGGAGTACATGTATAGTACTGTATATAGTAGTGTTCATGTATACTTGAATGCTTAATTCCATGTGCACACATGGTAAGTGTTGGGCATGCACACCACTGTCAACAAAAAATCGATAAAAAGGAGAAAAAAGTAAGTACTCCATGCTAACGCTAGAGCCGAAGATTTCGCTAGTGTTAGGGTTCGGAGCTTTGGGGGTTAGGGTTTACGATTTATGAGGTGGTTTCCATGGTTGTCAGCCTTAGAAGGGGTCGCTAGGAGGCCACCAGACCGACAGTGGTGGCAGTTGGCATGGCGGTGATGGCCAGGCGGTGGGGCACCGCCCACTTGGACATACGATGGGAGAGATTGGTTAGGCGGTATAGGTGGTGGGGGCATCAGTCGAATAAGAAGAAGTGGCAGTTAGGATTAGCGGTGGTGGAGATGTCGCTATGCCGCCGAAGCATATGGGAGGCAGTGGAGGAGTAGGTACTCAAACTGAACACAAAAAAGCTACATTTTGGGATTAGCGACAGCGAGCGCAGCAACACCCGAGCCGGACGGGCAAGCGGCGGCAGCGGCGGCGCGGGGGAGAGTGGTGGAGAGAAAGAGGGAAGGGGGAGGGGGAGGGGGTGGGCGCGGAGGAGGCTTTCTGGTGCAATTGCATGCTCTAGGAACTTCATATGTATAATAATTTACAAGATAGAAAGACAGGCTGGATCCAGAACCATCAACCAATACAACCTCATATGTAGAAAGGTACACCACTACCGGAAACCAGCACTTTGCCGAGTGCCGGAGGCTTTGCCGAGTGTATTTTATCGGGCACTCGGCAAAGACGGTCTTTGCCGAGTGCCAAATAAAATACACTCGGCAAAAAAAAAACACTCGACAAAATGCGTCTTTGCCGAGTGCTATTTTTCAGCACACGGCAAAATGCGTCTTTGCCGAGTGCCTTTTTCTGGCACTCGGCAAAGATGTATTTTGCCGAGTGCTTTTGTTTTGGCACTCGGCAAAGATGTATTTTGCCGAGTGCCTTTGCTTTGGCACTCGGCAAAGAGGCATTTTGCCGTGTGCATTTTTTTTGGCCCTCGGCAAATCAGTTTTTCAAAACAATTTTTGAGGCCCTAAATGAATTCAAATGAAAAACTTTTCAACTACAAAGTTGTGTAACTTTTCAAGATCTACAAAGTTTATTTTGGTCATTTCTTCATTTGACAAAGAGACAATAACGTTGTTCATAAAATATATATCTCTCATATTAGTTTCATGAAAGTAGAAGAGAGATATATAAGATTTGTGAACAATGTTACTACCACTATGTCGGATGAATAAATGACCAAAATAAACTTTGTAGATCTTGAGAAGTTATGAAATTTTGTAGTTGGCAACATTTTGATTTGAAATCATCTTGTCATGCAAAAACGACGTTTGAATTTGAAAATTTTAAAATTTGAATTTTTCAAACGACCTCGGATGGAAAAACTTCCTAAATGAAAATTATAGATCTCGAAAAGTTATGAAACTTTGTAGTTGACCACTTTTTGATTTGAATTCGTTTAGGGCTTCAAACAAGCAATTTACTCTCGGTTTAGTATAATATATGAGGATAGATAACAGAATCTAGACACAAGTGACAGTGTAGTGCAGTGGTAGAGCAGCAGACACGCGAGGAAGAGGTCGTGAGTTCGAATTCCGCCGGCCGCGTTAGCCGCGAATTTAGCGCAAAAAATGCAGCGACTTCGATGGAGACAGGCAGGTGCTGTCCGGGGGCGGCCTCCTTCGAAAAAAAAAATTCAGGTTTTTTTGCTATTATTTTTGGGTTTTTTCGCATTTTTATTTTGCCGAGTGTAAATCTTTGCCGAGTGCTTTTCCGGCACTTGGCGAAGTCTTTGCCGAGTGTCCGACAAAAAACATTCGGCAAAGTCTGTTTGCCGACTAAAATTCGCCGAGTGTCGTTTGCCGAGTGTCGACACTCGAGTGCCCCTGGCACTCGGCAAACCTCCTGATTCCCGTAGTGCACTTGTCATACTTCTATATATAGAGAACCAATGCAACCAATAGAACGAACCATGCAGCAATAACATCGCCGGCCGAACAATGGCTGCATCCACAAGGAAAACTGCTGTAGTAGTTCTCAGCTTGTTCTTGCTGTGTTGCAATACCTTGCTGCTACCTTCATCGGCTTCCTCCGATTCCTTTCTGCAATGCCTCTCGGTGATGATGCCAAGCGAGCTGGTGTACCAGCAGAGCTCGAGCAGCTTCACTTCCGTGCTGCAGTCGTCCGTGCAGAACCCCAGGTTCGTGACCAACACCACGGTGCGGCCGCTGTGCATCATCACGGCGTCCGACGTCTCCCACGTCCAGGCCGCCGTGCGCTGCGGCCGCTGGAACGGCGTGCGCCTCCGAGTGCGCAGCGGCGGGCATGACTACGAGGGCCTCTCCTACCGGTCCGTTCAGCCCGAGGTGTTCGCGGTGCTGGACCTAGCCAGGCTCCGCGGCGTGCATGTGCGCCCCGGGGACGACAGCGCGTGGGTGGACGCCGGCACGACGCTGGGCGAGCTGTACTACGCCGTGGGCACGACCAACCCGGGGTTCCTGTTCCCGGGAGGCGCGTGCGCGACGGTTGGCGTCAGTGGCTTCATCAGCGGCGGCGGCATCGGCCTGATGATGCGCAAGTACGGCGTCGGGGGCGACAACGTCGTCGACGCCAGGATCGTCAACGCCAACGGCGACGTCCTCGACAGGGCCGCCATGGGGGAGGGCCTCTTCTGGGCCATCCGCGGAGGCGGCGGCGAGACCTTCGGCGTCGTGGTGGCGTGGCGCCTGAAGCTCTCGAAGGTACCACCGACGGTGACGGTGGTCAACATCCAGAGGACCATGGAGCAGGGCGCCGCCGACCTCGTCGCCAAGTGGGAGACGACCATCCTCCAGCCGGTCCTCCCGGACCTCACCATCCGGGTCGTCCTGCAGCACAGACACGCCTTCTTCCAGACACTCTTCCTCGGCAGGTGCTCGGACCTCCTCAGCACGATGGGCAGCCTCTTCCCGGAGCTCGGCACGACGGCGGCCGACTGCAACGAGATGAGCTGGCTGCGCGCCATGGCGTTCATCTACTTCGGCAACACCAACACGCCGGTGGAGGCGCTGCTGAACCGAACCAACAACGTGGGCAACTACTACTTCAAGAGCAAGTCGGACTACGTGCGCCGCGCCGTCGGCAAGGCCGGGTGGGACAGCCTGTACCAGCAGTGGCTCTCGCAGAACGGCAACGGGCAGATGATCCTGGAGCCGCACGGCGCGGCGGTCGGTGGCGCCAACACGATGACCACCTCGCCGTACCCGCACCGCAGGGGCGTGCTGTTCAACATCCAGTACGGCTCCAACTGGTGCTGCAGCGCCAATGGCACGGAAGCGGCGGACGCGCTTGGGTGGCTCAACGGCCTTTACGGGTTCATGACGCAGTTCGTCACCAGCAGCCCCAGGGAGGCGTTCGCCAACTACCGCGACCTGGATATGGGCCAGAACGTGATCGGCGGCGATGGGTTGTCGTCGTACTGGAGCGCGAGGGCGTGGGCGGAGAGATACTTCATGGGGAACTACCGGCGGCTGGTGGCGGTGAAGGCAGCTGTTGATCCCACTGACTACTTCAGGAACGAGCAGAGCATCCCACCACTTCCCAAGTAGACATTTTTTAGGCGATAGCGCGTCGACATTTGCATCTTGATATGCATTATTAAGCGGAGGAGGGTTCCCAGTGGCGCCTAGTTAGTCGATTTTCCCTATGTTATGCAACTTCTATATGAAGAAAAAATAAAGGTACACTGCTAGCTTAATTAATAAATCTACTAAAAACTAGAAGATGCACCTCAGTCAACACAATACAAGGGGCTTGTTTCGGAGGCCCAATCCACGGAGCGTCACAGGGCTAGAGCGCAGTGGTGCTTGGTACGGTCCAAACTTTCTTTCCATGTTCTATATATATACGACCACCACGATCCCCTCGCCGTCTACAGACGACCCCCGCGACCTCAATTCCGTCCCCAATATCATCTTGATATCCCTAGAGGGCATTCACACAGGTGTCGCGCCCTTCAACTGGCCCCTGAGCTTGGTCCAACAAGGCGAGACGTGCGAGCATGCGCGCGTAGATTTTTTTTTCTCAAATACGCAAAAGATTTGCGGATCTTTGTATTATTAAGATAGAAAAGTTTGATACATACAATGTGCTTCTGAAGAGCGTCCTAGGAGTTCTACATGATTAAAGCCATGGGCTGGACCAACCTAGCATATAGACAAATATAAATTTCGATATTACATAAATAGTAGATAACTAGGATGAGGGCAACAACACACAGCCTAGGAAAAGGGCTTGCGCCACCTGATGTGACTCCTTCTCGACGTCTAGGAAGAGCGCTTCCAGGGCTTCGACAATGGCTGTGTGTTGTCGATGCACTTGGCGTTGACAAACCCATGACCAAACCCAATCGCTGCATGATTTGGATTTCACCTCACTAGGAAGCAGGCACTTAAGAGAGTCTTTGAGCCGCTAGACGCTTGCTCCATGGTGGCAGCACCGCCTTTGCAGGCGACGGCTTTGGTGGCTCACGAATCAGTGGGGAGGCACTCTTATGCACCACTTCCTTGGTGAAGTTCTCGAGGCAGCGCTTGGCAGAGTCGTCATTGTCCATGATCTAGGTATATCCCCCGGAGTCGTACTGGGAAGGCCAACATCCGCCGTGAGGTCGGCTGGACTGAAGCTTGGCGGTTAGCCCTCTCCGTCCTCCGTGGATGCATCAATGCCAAGGGGGCCTTCTGCACCAACCGCAGCGGCATGACCTGTGTCTGCCCCTGCTGAGGCGACACTGGGGCGACTCCGCTGCCCACTAAGTGGGGGTGGAGGTGGTGTCCACAACTCCGCGCTAGCATGCTGGGACGGCATCTGCTGCCCGCAGGTGCCCACCAGCGTGGCCCGATCCTCCAGCTAGATGCATGGCCGCCAAAGTTGAAGCCAGGCGGCCAAATGTGCGCGGGTGTAGAGTTACATTCTCTTTCCATACACTAGACTTGGTAAAGTGGAGGGGGCTTCCATATTTAATTATGAAAACCTTCACTTCAACTAATAAGTATGGAGCATATACTTCGTACTCTCTGGTCTCTTCATGGGTGTAAGGAAAATGGACCCTAGGCCCATTAATTTTGGATTTTGGTGCTTGATGACCAACACAACCAAATTAGACTAATGAATTTGCAAGTGATTGTTTTGTAGTTCAATAGGATGCAAGACGTGACTTGGACAAAGGCAACGTGATGATCCAATGATCAACACCCCAAGCAAGACCTTAGGAGCATAAGAGAAGACCCAAGATATCAAGCAAAGTGCAAGCATGAAGATAGGAACCAAGCCGCATGCAAGATCGCGAAGAAACAAGCTCACAGCAGCGACTGGACGCTGACGAAAAGCGACCGGACGCTTCGATCAGAGGCTCGGCAACAGCAGCAGCAACCGGACGCTGGACCGGACGCTGGCGGCAAACCGACCGGACACAGGACAACAGTATCCGATCGAGTACAGAGAGGTTCTAGAGCGGCGAACTTGCGACCGGACGCTGGCAGCGTTCGATCAGTTGTTCGCGGCTCCAACGGTCGGGACTACCAGATGCATCCAATCAGGACGACTCCAGCGTCCGGTCAGTAGCAGAAAAGCGGGATTTCGTCCCCAACGGCTACTTTCTCAGTGGGGCTTATAAATAGAACCCCAACCAGCCATTTGATATGTGTGGAGCTAAGGAAACATATCAAGAGTGTTGATACACCATTTTAGTGATCTCCACTTGCATAGTGCTTAGTGTTTCATTAGGTGATTAGCGTAGGTGCTTTACAAAGTGCTTAGGTTGATTAGACCACCGCTTATGCGCTTGCTCTAGGTTTAGGCCTAGTGTTTAGTGAGGTTTGCATACCTCTTACTACTCGGTGCTTGTGAGCACCATTGTTGTACATCGGAGGGGCTTGAAGTCTTGCGAGATCACACCAACCGCGTTTGTGGTGTGGCCGCCACCGTATACTGGAGGGAACAAGGCCCGCGACGTTTCGGCCGGAAGCTTGATAGTGAAGACGGCGGGGAGCATCTGGGAGAGGCTTGCCGAAAGGCACGTCGGAGACCCACTTGCGCGTGGGGAAGGCCCGAGGCTATCCACGGAGTTACCCGACCAGAGCTTGGCCCTCATGCGACGGATTCCTCAAGTAGGGGCTCCAATGAGGACTAGGGGGAAGCTTGCGCGCTTCTCGATACCTCGGTAAAAATACCGGAGTCGTCGACGGGAGTTTGCATATCTCTACCTTGCTCTTTAGCTTCCGCATTTACATTGATTACTTTACTACTTTTGCGGTAGAGATAGCAACACACTAGCGAAACCATAGTTGCACATTTAGATAGTTTATCTTTTGCATAGGTTTTGCTAAAGTTAGAATAAGAGGCCATAGTTTAGAGTTAGAATTTTAAGTTGCCTAATTCACCCCCCCCTCTTAGATGTCTTGGTCTCCCTTCAATTGGTATCAGAGCCAGTTGGCTTAATTTGGACCTTTGGCTTAATCGCTGTTGAGCCGACGCCATTTAGAGTGGTTGGGATGGATACCTCTAGGCCTCCGCACTTTGACGGCACTAACTTCTCCTATTATAAAGCTAGAATGGCTTGCTATCTTGAGGCGGTTGATTTGGGAGTTTGTAGAGTCACTCGTGACGGGATGAAACCCATTAAGAATCCCGATAAACCCACAAAGAGTGAAGAAAAGGAAATTCATTTTAATGCTAGAGCTAAGAATTGCTTGTTTGAATCATTTAGCATGGATGTGTTTAACCAAGTGTTCACTTTAAATACGGCACATGAAATTTGGTTAAAACTTCAAGAGCTCCATGATGGCACAGGTAATGTCCGTGAGCAAAAACATTGTCTAGCTAAACAAAATTATGATTCCTTTACAATGAATGATGATGAGCTCGTTCGTGATATGTATTCTCGTTCGAATCTAATTATCAAAGAGCTCCATTCAATAGGATTAACAAAGCTAGATGATGCGGACATCATGAGGAAGATCATCTCCGTGCTACCACAAAAGAAATATGCAAGCATCATCACCATCCTTCACAATATGGAGGACTTGAGCACCATGACCCCGGGCATAGTCATCGGCAAGTTAGTGGCATTTGAAATGTCACGTAAGATGGGTCAAGAAGAAGCTTCTTCATCAAACAAAGGCAAAGCTCTCGCATGTAGCGAGAAAAAGAAGATGAAGGGCAAGCAAGTTGAGACAAGCTCAAGCTCAAGCTCCTCAAGTGAAGATGAAGAAGAAGATGAGGACGATGACGATGATGATGAAGATTCAAGTGATGATGATCAGTCTTCCTCCTCCACCTCCGACCTTGATGAAGAATCAATCAAATTAATCAACAAGGTGGAGAAGATGATCCAAAGGCTCAATGTCAAGGGTGTGCCCATCCAAATTCAAGATCTCATTTTCACCAATCAAAGAAATGAGCAAAGAAAGAGAGGATGCTATGGATGCGGCGAGTTAGGGCACTTTGTGGAAGTTTGTCCAAATAAGCCCACACCCAAGACAAAGAAGAAGGCATGCAAGAACCAAGCCCTCACATCAATAAGATCATGGGATGATTCTTCAAGTGAAGAAGAACACCATCACAAGAGGCGAGGCCACAAGCACTCATCATCAAGCTCTTCACGTGTGTGCCTTATGGCACAAGGTAACGAAAGCTCATCCTCTAGTGAGAGTGATAGTGATGATGATATGCCTTCTTTTGATGAAATTGTGCTACAAAATCTCAATTATGCTAAAGTTTGCACTAGTCAACAAAAGAAGCTCAAAAGTTTAAAAGAAAAGCTAGATAGTTCATAAGAAGCATACAAAACTTTACTCGAACAATATGAGAATTTTGCTAATCTCAATGTTAAACTATCTACTAAAATTGAGCAACTTAAGGCTAGTGCAACAACAAATGAATGCACAATCCTTGATGAGCAACTTGTAAAGAAAAATGAAAAATTAAAAGAAAAGTTAGCTAGCTCACAAGATGCTTATAAAAGTTTGCTTGCAAAAATAGAAACCATGTGCAAACATTGTGATGAGCTAACTACTAAAGTTGCTAATCTTGAAGCCGTTAATACAACCCCCTCCAAGGCATCTAAAAAGAAAAGTTCTATCTTTAACATGTCTAAAAAGGATGCCTCTACTTCTTGTAATGATCTATGTTTAGACTCACCTTTGTGCAACCAAGTTTGTGCTGAGAAAGTTGTTGTAGATACATGCACACAAGAGGTTGCAAAGGAAAATAAGCAACTCAAGCAAGAAGTAGCTCGCCTCACCAAGGACTTGACTCAAGTAAAAGGCAAGGCGAAGCAAACCCAACTTCATCAAGATAACACTGTCAAGGGAGTGAAAAAGCTTGATGAAGGACAAACCGTGGTTTGTTACGTGTGCCACAAGGAAGGTCACAAGTCCTATGAGTGCAAGGTGAAGAATGGGGGAGGAGCAAAGAAGAAAGAGAATAAGCAAACAAGCAAGCTCTCCAACACCTACACCAACAAGGTGGACAAGAAGGCCTCCACACCTTATCTCTTGAAGAAGAAGAAAAATGACAAAGTGGTGGCCATCAAGGTGAACAAGCAAGCCAA